GCCTGGGGCAGGCGCTGCAGCACGGCACGGGCGCGGCGGCCTTCGCGCGCGACCTGGAGGAGGCCTTCAGCAACCACCCCGACTACTTCCACGAGCTGTATGACGCCAAGGCTCCTGACGAAGCCTGGGAGCGCTGGATGACGCAGGTGTCGACCGTTGCCGAGCGTCACTTCGCTGGGCGCGCTCCCGTCCCCCCTCGAGTGCAAGCGCTTCGGGACGAGCGTCTTCGTCTACTGGCTGAACGACGCGACCTTCGAGAGCATGGCGACCCCGGCACCGCGGAGATGGAGTTGGCAAGAGCCTCCCGCCGACTACGGCATCTTCGCAAGGCTTGGCTCGAGAATGAGGCGCAGATGATCGTTGACGATATGTATGAGGCCTGGCAGAAGAGGCATTTCGCAGAGGCGTGGCGGCTGGGACATCAGCTTGCGGCCCAGTGCAGAGGGGCCGAGGCGACGACGCTACATCGTCGGAGCTTGCTTCCTACCTCGGCGCGCTGAGATCGTGCGGCACTTCCAGCAGGACGGCGCCAGTGGCGGGCTCGACGCGGCCCCGATCAACTTTGAAGAGTACCGTCAGACCTACCTGGAGGCGCCGCCGAGGGCACCGACGTCCGCGCACGACCACCTCGATATCGCACGGGAGGACTTCGAGAAGCTGATCGAGGTGATCTCGAGGTCTCCCCGTCGCCGAGCTGCTCCGCCTCACAGCGTGCCGACCGAAGTTCTACGGCTTGCCCTGGAACCGCGGCGTCGATATGATGGCCGACGAAGACGGCGGTCTCGACGTCCTGGGGGCGAAGGGGGCACGAGTCGCCTCGAGCCGCGCCTCAGCCCCGACATCGGCTCGCAGGCGATCGGCGTGGGCTCGGGCGCGATGCTGATGAGATTGACGCGCCCATCACCGAGCGAGCGTTCAAGGCTATCCTGGCCCACATCAGACGCGTGCAACGCGCCCCTTTGATCACTCTTTCACCACAGGCCTCGACAAGCACAACGGGAAGACTGGCTTTCACGCGAAGCGCTTCATTCACGGCCTGTGCCGAGTCGGCACTTCATGGTTCCAGGCGCAACTCCAACGCGCTGCGTGCGATGCCCCCCGCCTAGAGAACACGGGTACCAGCGAGGACGTAACCGCGAGGGCGCACTTCTCTGCCGGGAGGGGCTGCTCGGGCGGCTGCGTCGTCTTGGCATCTCCACCCTCACCACCAAGGAGGACATGAGCAACGCCGTCGGGTCCTCCACCCTTTCCGCCCTGCGCCAGACGGCCACGGCGGCCGCGCGCCCAGAGGAGCAGGAGTATTTCCACCAGCGCCACGAGCTCAGCACCTTCTGCGCGGGGGGGGGGGGGGGCGACGGCGACCAGGACATGCGCATCCGCTGCGGAGCCTTCATGGGCGACACCCCCGCGGCGCTCTTCTTCGCCAGGACCTCCCGTGTACCTATTACTGACTGGCCCCAGCGACTTCGAGGCGCGGCCTGGGCCACGCACGAGATGCCTGACCAACCGACCTCCTACCGCGAGTGGAAGAGTCAACCACTTCTACCTCCGACGCCTAGAGCCGACATCGACACCGCGATTTGGCCGAGCGAGATGATCTGTACAGCGCGGTGCCCGCTCCTGGAGGTTGCCGCCCCGCTCGGGGCGCGGATCTACGCGGACGACACCAACCGCACTAGTGTTGTCACCTCTGCCAGGAATGCGGGCTTTGTCTCCAGGCACTCGCACCGCGAGCTTCGACGTGCGCTGGGGCCCTGCGGCTGCACGCACAACCCGTCCAAGAGCTCGGCATCGCCTTGTTTCGTGGGCTGTGGCGCCCAGAACGAGACGAGGAAGCTCTTCAGCGGTGCCGAGAACATCGCGGGGGCAGTGCAGTGCGACAACATCGCGCTGGGCATCCAGACCTCTATCACGGGTAGCGCGCAGGCTGAGCTTCGGCGACGCCTGCAAGCTGCCCGCAGGGGATATTACAGCATGGGCCGCTTCTGGGCGCGCAACGACATCTGGCACCTGACCAGGATCGTGTTCGGGTCGGTCGTGCAGGAGGCCGCGTGGAGTGGGCTCAACGTTCTGGCCCTGAGCGTGTCGCAGCAGATGCAGATTGACAAGGTGCTCTCCAGTCTTGGACGTCGCCTCCTGAAGGGGGCCGCCTGCCAGAAGATCCCGCTCCTCGACGACGCGGGCGTTCAGAAGGTCGACGACAACAGCAAGCTGCTCGTCCGCTACAAGGCGATGTCCGACGTTGCGGTGCTGAAGCGGCCCGGGATGGCCCCCACGGCTACGGAACTACGAGTTCGCCGACTCCGTCAATATCAGCGATGGCTTCGGGCCCCTGATCGACACCCGCAAGAGCTCGCGGCGATGTTCGGCGAGCTCCCGCTGGAGCCGACGCCGACGCTCGACGATGAGGGCTCGGTGGCCGCGGACGCTAACCCGCACGCGCTGCGGTTCGCCCGAAGATGTGGAGACGCTGCTGACGGCCGCGGGCGACGACGAGCCGCGCGAGGACCTGCAGACGGCGAAGGGCTCGCTCAATGTCGTTGCGCTGTTCTTCAACGACGACCTGCGGGGGCGCTACCTCGTGCACGACCCTGGGATGCTGAGGGCGCAGGCGCGCGCGGTGGCGATCCCGCCGCCTGACTGGCAGCCACCGTTGGCGACGGGGGGGGCCCCCCCGCCGCCGCCAGCCATATGGCGCTGCGAGCTGCTCGGCGCCGAGGGCGCCATGCGCGGGCGCGAGTTCGCCACGAGACGGGCGCTGCTTGCCCATCAGAAGTTCCAGAAAAACCCTGGCCGCGGATGTCGGTCCATCATTCATTCCCTCATCATTACCAACCAATGCGTATACTTTTCTAGCACCTTCAGGACAAGACGGCTTGCGCAAGAGCACGCCGTGACCGCATGTCTGACTCGTCGATGCCCTGTCCAGCGGCCCCCCTTCTACCACGAGGTGGTCATGCCCCCATCTGATGTGTCCCTTGGCTTCGGTAACAAGGTCTGCGTTGTATCCTGGCTCGCAGTCTCTTGGGCTAGCATGTCCGATTGGGGGGCCCTTCGAGACCCTAGCAGATCTGCAGGCGCATCTGCTCGAGCAGCATGCGAACGCCCCGAGCGCTCCTCGGGCCGTGCGGCAGGCTCCTGTGGGCGGTGGCGACGCTAATGTCCTTCCGTCTCAGCTCGCAGGCACTGGAGCAGGCCAAGGGCCGATCTCGATCCCACAGCCGCCGCGCCGCGCCTGGGCGAGATGGCCGAGATGGCTCCGCGAGTGCCAGCCGCGGGGCCCACGCGCGCCGTCGCGGAGGCGGAGGGCGCAGCAGCGAGCGCGGTGCCGCGGCCGCGCGGCCAGCCGCCGACGCAGTGCTATCGCCGCGCGGCGCATTCCGAGATCGGCCAGACCTACGGGCCCCCAAAGGACACGCTGGACAAGCTACCGACCATGGAGATGCAGCTGGCGCTCAAGATCATCCCAGTGATCGCGAAGGCGGTCTTGGGCAACAGCTTCAACATTTGCCAGCTCCTGTCGACGAACTGCCACGCGCTGCTCATGGGCGACGACGCCGAGTTGGTGAATGCGTCCTTCACAGCGGGCAGGGCCTACGCGCTGGAGGCGCAGAAGATGCGCGACCTGCGCCACGCCGGCTCCACGCAGCACAAGACTCCCGAGGCGATCATGGGTCCCGCATGCGCCCAGGTGGTTCTCGAGGCCGCTCGCGCGCTGAAAGGCGTGGGCGACAAGGTGGGCATGCGCAACAAGGAGGCCTGGGGGACGATCTATACGCGGATCGACCCGATGACTATCCCCGAGCTGACGTTCCTGGCGCGCTGCTTCCGCGTGTCGCAGCGCTACAGGGAGGGCAGGGCCAAGATAGTGATGTGCACTAGCGACCCCAACGTGGAGCAGTGCTTCCTGAAGTGCGCCGAGCAGCTGGGAGCGGAGCACAAGCCTGGCGTGGGCCCTCGTGGGCACCAGGAGCGTGTACTGCAGATGGCGCTCGACCAGTTCGCCGACATCTGACAGGGCTTCCTGGAGATGCGACTGAGGATGTGGCAGGTCCTCGAGGATGGGAAGCTGGTGCTGGTGCTCCGCGTCCGCTGAGCTCGCGGGAGGCCGCGGTGGCCACAGTGCGTAGCAGTGTGACCGCGGGGAGCGCGGCTGAGCTCAAGGCGGAGACCGCCAGACATCGGTGCGGTCCGTCGAGGACTGCAGTGCAGGATCTCCCCCCTTCCCCCGTCCAGACCCTTCCCGCCCGTTCGTCTACTGCTCCTCCCCGCCCTCAGCCAGTTAGCAGTAGTAGTGTACAGGTTCAAGTGATGTCGAAACGTAGCAATAGAATAGCAGACGTAGAGCAATTCGCAACACTCAGTCTAACTGAACGTTTGAAAATCCTCGAGTCTCACCGTAAATGGTAGAGCGAAGGCAACTCGGGACTCCCAGGGAGGGCACGCCGTGTTTTCCTATGCCTGCGCGCGCACTGCAGGTCGTACATATCGATGCGTTATGATGTGTAGTTGGGGTTGCGTGATCTTCGACCCGAGGCCCGATGCAGCGACCGACCGACCGACGCTTCCGCCTTCTCCTACGGTTCCTCCTCCTACGCTTCAGTCGAGGTTGAGACAAGGGCCGCCTTTCGCTCGGGAGGGGCCGAGGTCCTGCGTGGCGAGACAAGCGCCTTTGCCCCTTGCTTGGCGCCCCCCGTGGCAGGGCGATGACTGCAAGGGAGGGGGCTGGAGGGCGAGGACGGAGACGACGAAGAGACTCCCTCCGCTGCACGAGCCTCGGCTGCCCAAGTCTCCTCCCCGCGCGCCGCCCCCCCCTGGAGGACCGCCGCCGCCGCCGCGAGTCTCCTCCCTCTCCTGTTCCTCCTCTCCTTCCTTCTCCCCCTCCTCCCCCTCCTCCTCCTCCTCCTCCTCCTCCTCCTCCTCCTCCTTCTCCTTCTCCTCCTCCTCCCCCCCCCCCCTCCTCATCCTGGGCACCGCCTGCCCCCCCCCCCCCTTGAGAGGAGAAGCAGAAGAGCGCCAGCATCCAGCAACGCATGAAGGAGAGGGGTGGGCGGGCGGCGGGGGTGGGGGGCGGCGGGGCTGCGGGCGAGGCCGGGTTCGGGGAGGACGGGCTCGGGCAGGCGAGCACCGAGGATGACGCAGATGCCGGCGGCGAGGGGTGGAGGGGGACGAGGAGGGCGACGATGACCATGACGATGGGAAGGATGACTGTGGCGAGGAGCACGATGACGTTGTTGATGACGATGGTGATGACGATGCTAATGTTGATACTGATGATGATGCCAATGCTGATGATAACGCTGATGCTGATGACGACGATGACGATGACGATGACGATGGTGATGACGATTACGACGACGACGATGACGATGACGATGATGATGATGATGATGATGATGATGATGATGATGATGATGATGATGATGATGATGGTGATGGTGATGATGATGATGATGGTGGTGATGATGATGATGCTGCTGCTGATGCTGATGCTGATGCTGATGCTGATGGTGGTGGTGGTGGTAGTGGTGGTGTTGGTGCTGGTGATGCTGGCGATGACGATGAGGGTGAGCGTGAGGGTGATGATGAGGATGAGGGTGATGATTCTGATGACGTCGAGGTTGAGGCTGAAGAAGAATATGCGCATGTGGGGAAGGATGAGGAGGTTAGGGAATGGGATGGGGATGGGGATGAGGATGACAACGATGATGATGATGCTGATGATGGTGACGATGATTAGGATGATGGTGTTGATGATGATGCTGATGCTGATGATGACGGTTATGATGCTGATATTCTTGATGGGGATGATGTTGCAAATGTTGAAGGTGGCGCCGTGGATGAGTATGTTGATGTTGATGTTGGCCATAACGCGGATGATGCTGAGGCTGAGGTTGGTGGTAATTATGGGGATGGTGCAGATCATGATGCTGATGCTGTTGGTGATGACGATGACGATGATGACGATGACGATCATGGTGGTGTTGGTGCAGATGAGAATGGCGATGACGATGATGATGATGAGGACGATGATAACGTGTGATGGTTATGATGATGATGCTGATGATGATGCTGATGCTGATGATGATGCTGATGATGATGCTATGATGATGGTGATGATGATGGTGATGGTGATGATGATGATGCTGCTGTTGATGATGATGATGATGCTGCTGATGATGATGATGTTGCTGCTGCTGATGATGATGATGCTGGTGATGATGATGATGATGATGATGGTGATGATGATACTGATGATGATGATGATGATGATGATGATGATGGTGATGATGATACTGATGATGATGCTGATGATGCTGATGATGCTGATGATGATGATGATGATGATGATGATGGTGATGGTGATGGTGATGGTGATGGTGATGGTGATGATGATGATGAGGAGGAGGAGGAGGAGGGCGCTGGCGAACATCCCGCCCTCCTGCCCCCGCTCGGGCGGCGGAAGGAGCGCACCAAAGAGATGTTCCAGAAGATGAAGGACGAGAGCAACTCCAAGGAGGGGCGGGCCCCGGCCTCCTGGCCTCCGCGCGTACCTTCCTTCCTGTTCTCCGCTGCTCGCGCAGTGCTGGGGGGGGGGAAAGGATGTTCACTCTCCTCCCTGTTCTTTCCTCCCTCCTCCTCCTCCTCCTCCTTCGCCGCCTCCTCCCCTTCCTCTCCTCCGTCCGTCACGCTCCTTCCGCCTCTCGCCTTTTCCGTTTCCTCTTCGTGTTTCTCTCTCTCTCTCTCTCTTTTGTTTTTCTTGTGTTCTTCCTCCTCCTCCTCCTTCTCCTCCTCTTCCTCCCCTCCCCTCCTCCGCCTCCTCCTCTTCTCCTCCCTCCTCGCCGAGGGTGGAGGTCTCCACCGCGTCCGGGAAATCGAGGGTCGGGAAGGAGGGAGACTCGAGGACCGAGGAGGTCTGAGACGTGTCTTGGGCGTCTTCGGGGGTCCTGGGGTCCAGGGATGTCCGCTTCCCCCCCTGAGTGGTGACCCCCTTGGCATTGCTGCAGCTCCCCCCTCGTCCTCTGCTTCTTTACTGCTACCTACTCGAGGATCGAGGATCGTCAGCATCGTCAGACGTTGGTTCCTTCGGTTGCTTCCAGCTTGCCCCGTCGTGGCCCGGATGGATGCTGCGAAACCAGGCGGAGACTGCACCCCCCCACGTCGGGGGGGTAGGGTGGTTCGCGGGGCAATGACTTCCCAGTGAGGATGCCGATGCAGTCAAGACTCCAGGGAGGAAAAACCATCCGGACCGGACAATTGGCGTTTACTAAACGGCCTTGGGCGTTTACTAAACAGCCCTACCCTGTTCGATTCCTTATTTGGGCGCGTTTACTAAACAACTTCGCGTGTCGGGGTGGTAATTATTGGGGTGGATTTTTTGACTTCTGAAGACGCTGCGAGAAGGACCTCTTTGGGGCTCAGGAGGTGCTCCGGCTTTCGTGCCGTCCCCCGCGTCGAGGGGGCAGGGTGGTTCGCGGGGCCAGGACTCTCCCAGTCGGGGTGCCGATGCAGCCAAGAGGCTGCCAAGAGGACCGCTCTGGGGCTCGGGAGGTGCTCTGGCTTCCGTGCCGTCTCCGAGGCCGAGGTCGGGGAGCCTCTTCGTGGCCGAGGCCCACCGTGGCCGAGGAGGCCCTTGCGCTCTTTTGCTTCCGTGTTCCTTCTGGTATCCGGGCCTCCTGCAGTCGGCCCAGATTAGTAGGTTGACCCTGCCAAACCAAGGGTACTACATTCCCGTGGCAATGTGGCCCTTGGAAGGGTCTTGTGTCCTCTCGCGTGTCTTGTCCAATCGAGCCCGACTGTCTGTACTCCGTGCTCCTTCTGGTATCCAGGCCTCCTAGATGGGGTCGGAGTGGATGGGGTCGGAGGAGCGCTCCGCATCGCCGATGCATCGGCGATGCGGTTCGATGAGGAGCCCGATTCTCTCCACGCCGACGGTGCCGACGCATCGCCGACGTCGCGGATACATCGCCGATGCATCGGCGAAGTATCGCCGATGCATCGCCGATGCAGCGCGATCCTCCGACCCCATCTACTCGGACCCAATCTAGGAGGCCTCTATGGTAGCAGCTTGGTTGTACCCAACTTTCCGAGATTCCCCCCTCCTTCCACTGTTCCTCGCTATGAAGGAAATCTGTCCTGAGGGCACCGTGTCCTGGATGCCTTCTGCAGTTTTGCCCTCCCGGCCTCCCGGGGCCTTCCACGGGCCCCTGGGACTGGCAACATCGAACCAGGATTGCGAGACAGTCCTGGGGAACAGTCCCAGATTCAGGACCCGTTTCCCTCAGGACATGTTTCTTCTTTGGTCTTGCTGCAATTGCGACCCCGGCGACAGTGCGCATTCGAGCGCGTTCTTCCGCCCTCGCCGAACTGTATTCGTCACACACCCGAGGGACTGTTCAATGGCGGCCCGCTCGCAGGCCTGGCAGTTTTGTCAGTGATCCCCCTGGTCCTCCTCTTCGTCGTCGTCCTTCTTCTCCTATCCTCCTACGCCCTACGCCCTACGCACTGCTCCTCCTCCTCCTGCTCGTGATCCATCCTTCGCCCTCCTCATCCTCCTTCTCGTGATTCTCCTTCTGCTCCTCCTCTTTGTCGTAGTCATCGTTGTCGTCGTCCTCCTTCTCCTCGTCACCCCCCGATCCTCCTCCTCCCTCACGTGCGGGGGGGAGGGGGGGGCGCGCGCGCGGCGGGAGGCGGAGGAGGAGGAGAGCACGAGCATGAGCGCGCGGAGAGGAGGGAGGAGGGCGGAGGGAGGAGGTCGAAGAGGAGACGGACGAGGAGGAGGAGGAGGAGGAGGAGGAGAGGAGGAGGAGGAGGAGGAGGAGAAGGCGGAGGAGTAGGCGGAGGAGGAGGAGGAGAAGGCGGAGGAGGAGGCGGAGGAGGAGAAGGGGAAGGATGGAGGAGGGAGAAAGGAGGAGGGAGGATGGAGGAAGGAGGATGGATGGAAGAGGGAGGAGGGAGGAGGGAGGATGGAGGAGAGAGGGAGGAGGGATGAGGGAGAAATAATGATGACGATGATGGTGACGATGATGCTGCTGATGATGATTATGATGCTGATGATGATGCTGATGATGACGATGATGATGATGGTGATGATGACGAGGATGATGTGATTGTGATGGTGTTGGTGTTGGTGAGGATGAGGATGATCATGATGATGTTGCTTGTGCTAATGCTACTTCTGCTGCCGATAATGATGATGATGATGATGCGGACAATGATGACGAGGCTATTGATGAGGACGATGATGATGATGATACTGAGGAGAATGATGAGGACGACGATGATGATGCTGATGCTGATGGAGATGATGATAGTGATGATTATGTTGATGAGGTCGGTGATGATGATACTCATGATGATGATTATAATGGTGTTGATGATGATGCTGATGATCATGATGATGATGATGACGATGGCGATGACGGCGACAACGGCGATGACGTTGATGATGATGACGACGATGATGCTGGTGCTGGTAATGATGATGATGATGATGATGATGATGATGATGATGATGAGGATCAGGATCATGATGATGCTGCTGATGATGATGCTGAAGAAGACCATGATGCTGCTTATGATGGCGAGGCTGATTCTGCTGATGAGGCTGCTGATGGCCATGCTGCTGATGATAATGATGCTGATGATGCTACTGCTGATCCTGATTATGATGGTGCTGACGACGGCGACGACGAAGATGCGGATGATAATGCGGATGATGATGATAATGATGTTGATGATGATGATGGTGATGATGACGATGCTGATGATGTTGATGATGATGAGATGATGGCGATGGTGTTGTTGATGATGCAGCTGACGATGCTGATGACTATGCAAATGATGATGACGATGTTGATGAAACTGATGATGTTGATGTTGGTGATGCTGGTGGTGATGATGAGGATGATGCAGATGCTGATGCTGATGATGGTGCTGCTGATGATGATGCTGTTGATAAAGACGACGCTGGTCATGCTGACGATGATAATGGCGGCAACGGTGATTATGATGTTGATGACGGCGACGATGCTACTGCCTTTACGATCATGACGATGATGATGACGATGATTATGATGCTGATGATGATGGCGTTCGTGGCGGTGGTGGTAGTGATTATAATGCTGATGGTGATGATGTCTGCCGTGATAACGATGATGATGCTGAGGCTGATGCGGACGATGCTTCATGTGATCATGTTGATGACGAGTCTGATGATGACTATACTAATGATGGTGCTGCTGATGATGGCGGTGGCTGTTGCGGTGGAGGTGGTGATGATGCTAACAATGACGAAGATGCTGATGATGGTGATGATGCTGATGATGATGATATTGATGCGGCCGATCATTATGATGAGGAGGATGATTATGAGGATGATGGGGATGATGCTGCTGATGATGATGACGATGATGATGATGATGCTGATGCGGTTGATGATGCTGATGATGATGATGGTGATGATGATGGTGATGATGATGATGATGATGCTGATGGTAGTGTTGACGATGCTGATGCTGATGCTGCTGCTGATTGTGATGATGATGCTGATGATGATGTTGATGCTGATGCTGATGCTGCTGCTGCTGCTGTTGCTGACGACGACGATGCCGATGATGATGATGATGATGCTGATTATGATGATGATGATCATCATCATGATGATAAGGAGGATGGTGATGACGATGCTGATGATGATGACGATGATGATGATGATGTTGTTACTGATGATGCCGATGCTGATGATGCGGATGATGCTGAAAGTGTGATGATGATGATGATGCTGATGATGATGATGATGATGATGATGTTGCTGACTATGCTGACGATGGTGCTGCTGATGATGCTGCTGGTGACCATGATGTGGCTGATGATTATGATGATGAGGATGACGATGCTGATGCTGATGATGATGATGATGACGGTGCTGGCTGTGGTGATGATGGTACTGATGTGATGATGATGATGACCACCATCATCATGATCATGATGGCGTTCAGAACAACGGGAGTAGGGAGGAGGGAGGAGGGAGGAGGGAGGGAGGGAGGGAGGGAGGAAGGGGGAGGAGGACGAGGAGGAGGAGGAGGAAGAGGATCAGGGAGGTCGGAGGAGGGAAGAGAGACAAGGGAGGAAGGAGGAGGGAGGAGAGACGAGGGGTGATGACGAGATGATGATTATGATGATGTTGATAATACTGATGCTGATAATGATGATGATGCTGATGGCCATGCTGCTGACGATGATGATCATGATGCTGCTGATGATGATGCTGATGATAGCGATGACGATGATGACGATAATGCTGATGACGACGCTGATTATGACGATGATGTTGATGATGCTCATGATGATGAGAAGGCGGATGATGATGACGATGATGATGATGGTGATGGTGGTGGTAATGATGATGATGACGATGATGACGATGATGACGATGATGATGATGATGATGATGATGATGATGATGATGATGATGATGATGATGATGATGATGATGATGATGAATGTGGTGGTGGT